GGTTTGCTTTTTGTTTGTTTGTCTGTCTTTGCGTTGGGTTTTCTCTCTCTCTCTAATAAATGCTTGGAAAAACAAAATACCCGTTGTTGAAAGACAGCGTTAACATCTAGCGATGCAAATCCACATCTGATGTCTGTGAATTATCACCGATACAGTCTTTAAGGAAAAGTTTTAAACTATGTTTTGGAGTCTGTTTAAAAGAACAAAAGCTTATCGACTGCTGAGCAGCACTCCGGAGAAGTAAATCTCAAAAATAAAAGTTGAAGACTTGGTCTGCTTTGTATGCTGAAGTCCATTATGATTTTTGTAAGCGTACTTTGTAAAACCTAGATAATTGCGACATCTTTTCTCATAGGAAGCATAGTGCCCTGTAGGAAAATGTTAAAGATCCAAAGTAAGAATGACTACTTTTATTGTTTTTCAGTTGTTGTAACTCCTTCTTTTGGGGACGTCAGAAGGGAAAAAAACGTTTTCTGCCTTAAAATTATTATCCTATAAATAGCTACGTTTGGGAAATGCTCACTGAGGTGCAAAATCTGGGATTAGAGTTACTAAAATTATCCTAGCGAGTGGAATGTAAGATTCAGCATTTGCTGAGACTTATTAACGGTGTCAGATCAATCACCTGAACTCTTATTTGGAGGAAGCGAGCACTTTTAGTAGCATTAATGGAATTATATGGGAGATGCGGCTGACATTGTGAGGAGGTTTTTTTTGTTACATACTTTCAAAGAAATGAATAAATAAAGGAACCCAAGCAAAAAACCAATAACAAAGTATAACTATTATGGGGGGAGCAGAAAAGAGGAATCAACGTGTTAAAAAAAAATCTTTATTGCTAAAATAAATTAGATAAGGTTTATCCAGAATGACAAGAATTTGGGAGCTCTGGATAGGCAGATAGATTTGGAATTGTTTGTATTGCATCATGATTGTCTAGGTAATTTACCAGCAAAGATGCAATGGAATAATAGTTTCTTTAAAAAAAATATATAGTTTTGCATGTAAATTGTAAAGTCTATTCTGAGTGTGTCATACTAATCATGTTATAATCAGTACATTTTGTAGTCCAGAGGGTCTCATTTTAATGACTATGGAGTCTGAGGTTTCTCGATAGTACAGTATTTAACTGTACAATTAATTTGTAGTTAAAATGGTAATTGAATGTGTGTTTATTTTTCAGTGTTAGCTTGGTCTGTCACACAGTATTTAATATCTAATGTCTGACTTTCAGTATATTCTGGATGTTTAACAACAACATAAATTGTTACTTTGTGTAATCTTTGTGTTTATGCAAGTTCTCAGTATTACAGTCAGGACTTTCATTTCTGACATCTGAAAGTGATTTAGTGTTGACCCATCTTACTTGGTTGGTTTTAAGTTGTTGATAAAAATCAGATGTTTAAGTTTTCATCGTGAGGGGTGGTGGTCCTTGAGCATACCTCACGCTAAGTACTGTATTTGCTTAGGTACAATTTAAAAACTTTTTTTGTCTTGTAATTTAGTAAATTCTTCTCCATAGTTTGCATGCAAACTATGTATAACAATATTTTGCTACAAACTAGCCTGAAAAAGTATTTCTCTATACATTTGGAACAGTGCGTGTAGACAATCATATTAACTCTTAAATAGTTTGAGACGATGTTTTGCCAGTGCAGTGTTGTAATGGACACAAAGTTATTTAATACAATTCTTCTGGCTGTTGGTGGTGATTGCTATTCTTTGTGGCTTTTAATTCTGTTTTCTTGTAATCACTCATCCTCTTGGAAGCCCTAGTCCAAACCATGTGTAAGAGTTGTAGTTTAAGGCAGGTGAACAACTCTCTCTGAAGTCAGACTTCAAGGTGTTCAGAGTAGATGGCACAGTATATTATTATCCAGGTTCCCATTAACTTGGAAAATGCTATTCCAAATATCTGGAAAACGTTGTGTGAATAGACAAGATAAAAATATAAGAAACCCAGTTTAGCAAAGGAAGAATGCAATGCAACTGACACTGAAGCTGCCCTCTTTTCCATCTGACTGAGAATTTCGGGATTCAATACAAGAAGCAAGATGGTAACTTAACATTAAAGTAGATGCTGACCATCACTCTTGGGTTTCCTGTATCAGAAAGATAGATCAGAAAATGTCTGGTCTTAAAACTAAAATTGTACTAATTGGAAATATTTTGGTTAGTAACTGAAAAAGTGAGCTTCTTTCCTGAATACTGCGTAATATTTATGCAAGCTGCAGGATACCAGTGGAGTAGATAACTTCAGGGAAGTAATTTATACTGAAGCAAAACCAAGAATAATGTATAGTGTGTAAATGGTAGTTATATCCTGATCAGAATACATCTACATGTGCCAGAATTATGAATTCTTCCTTACCGCAGTTCTTGATGTCCTGTTTAGAAAGCTGCTCAATGTTTGTTGTTTATCTTTTGTTCCCCCCGTCCCCCTGAAGTAGTCAGTACCAACTACAGTGGAGCAAGTTACACTAAACTGAAGCAGCTTAAAATTTGTGGTGTCTATTCTTCCTCTAGGCCAATAATACAATTTTGTAAAAGATCCCTTTAGGACTACATGAAAACGTTTACTAAAACTTGAGCAAAAATTTCCTTAAACAGTTTCTATCAAACACAACTTACACTTAACCCTATTTTTATTATTTATGGCATGAGCCTTTTTCAAACCTCTTGCAAAAATAATAAAAATAATAAAAGATATTTAACAACACTACTTAACGTTAGACAACAGGCAATTTGTACTTAATTTTGAGAAAAGTTGACAAAGTTACTGGTTTTGTGAGTAATGGTAAGCAAGTGTTTTGCTTGGTTAAAACTTGAAGGCATTTTATTCTAGGTCCCTTTGATCTTGTGCACTAGTGAATTAATAAGCCTGACTTTCTTCCCGTCTTTTCACATGCAGGCAGAAGGAGAAGACAGCCTTAAAAAGATGCAGCTGATGGAGCTTGCAATTCTGAATGGCACCTACAGAGATGCCAACATCAAATCACGTAAGCATGTCATAAGCTCAAGGATCAATGCCATAGTAATGTTTGCAGGTTTTGATTCCTAAAGCTTCTTTTTGGCAAACGTACAGTAGCAGCTGTGCTGGAGAATGGAACGCAGTAAAAAACCAACAAAACAGTAGGTAGCTGTTGCAAAAGATCTTCTGGAGATAAGCTATGTCAGTTTGGGGGATTTTTTGTTTGGTTCCCCCACCCCCTTTTTAAAAAAAGTATGTCTGGGTTGAAATATTTAAAAATACATAGTTTAAAACACCTCAACCCTTAAGCCAGGTTTTTCTGTTTTACAATAATTTTTTCCTTAATACCTGTAAAGGACCATAGACTCCTTTTCAGTTTTATTTTTAGAGATGTAATTTGAAAATGTTACAGATGTTCAGGATACTGTGAATACATTTTTCTGTATTATATTCCTTCCTTTCATCTTGCTTGCATGTGTCCCCCCCAATGTTACGTTTTTCCAACAATTCATCAACTGATTTCACAGCTGAGTTCACAGGGATCAGTGATGTAATGAGCCATTTTTACAATTTCTTCCATTACATTTGTGTGAAAATGCTTTTGCAAACGCGTGTATGCACAGGTTTACACTTGAAAATTAATTACATACACCTACTAATGAGAGCATATACCTATTATGTGTGATATAAATTATTTTCTCTAGTTGAAAAATCTAATTTCTCCTCCTGAAAATGTAGTTGCCAATACTATTCCAAAGGAAATTTTTGGTGTAGCTGTTTTACAGATGTCAAATGTAAGCACGGTTAAATCAGTCTTTTCACTAAGGGCCTACTGATATTTGCAAATTTATTTCTCCACAAAGTCACCATTTCAATGTTGAATATGTTTAACAGTTGGAATGCAGTTAGGTCAGTTTGAGAGTGCTTACACCAGTGTAATTATTCTGATTTGAAAAGAAACATAAGCAAGGGCTTTTACCACTACAATGGTAGTTGTAAATCTTCAGCCCTAATGTACACTGTAATATTTAAAGCTAGATCAGTTTTAAATGTATTTTAGTCTCTAAATTATTGCAAATTTCTGAGTAAAATGGCTTTCAGATTAGCTTAAATTGATACAAACTGTTACATAGAAACCTTTATATTAATTTTAGCAATTTCTTTCTCTGATCTATTCCCATTGGTCTATTGTGGCAGTAGAAGTGGGAAGATGGATTTTTTTTTTTTACTAGAGATTTCCACACCAATACTCACTTTTTGATAATAAGACAACTTCACTGTTTGTGTTCCGATTTTAGTGAAAACTTGAAGATGTAGAAGCCATACTGATTTATTTCCATTTAAGAAAGGAAATGAAAATGTTTGAGGAGGTTTTTTAATTACATATTCAGTTTGAGAACTTTTGTTTAAAAAGTAAAAAAAAATTAAAAAAGCACAAATCTCAAATCTGAAAAAATTTCCACCAGATTTCTCTTTTCAGACCACCTGTAAGTTAATTAAATCAATGTAGATCAACAGTATTGCATAGAAATCTATAAAGTATAACCCTTTAAGATTGACTGTTACCAGATTAAGAAGTTGTGCATCTCATGTGCCAACAGGCTTCAAACAAGACTTAATGAAATGTCCTAGTGCTGTTTAAAAAAAAAACAAAAACCCACACACAAACAAACAAAAAAACCCAACAAAACAAGAAGAAACACCTGTTTTCTTTAACCTAAGCAAGGCCATCATGAACTTCTAATACAAAGGAAGTATTTTATTTTGGGGAATTCAATATGAAAATCACTTTTGAGTCTATTTTATTCATGCTAGAGTAGGAGAGGAGATGCGTTGTGTTTCCAGGTCATCCTTAACTTCACTCGTTCTGGAAATTGGAATTGCGTATGTGTTTAAATACAATTTTAAGATGTATAAAAACTGTAGACTCATGCCAGCTCTGCATAACTGAGTATCTGTGGACTCTCTAGTTGCACTAAATTTTGTACTCTGTATTTGATTATGACAGTATTTGCCTTGTATCTCCTGCATGCATCTCAGTCTCATGCAGTCTTGATAGCATAAATGAAGAAATGTGGTCTAAATGGAGCTTTTGTGCTGTGTAACCTGTTTGAGAAATCTACCTCACTGTTTTACAATGGCTTTTTTATTTTGCATGTTCATACTTAATCACACTGGAAAATGGAAAGCTGTTTGCATTTGAATGGTGTGCTTTGGCACTGTGTGATCAGCGCATGTACTAATGATTTCCTTTTATTTTTCTTCTTTCCTACTTTTCCCCTTTTTTCCCATTCTTTCCACGTTTTGTACTGCTATCTCCATACTTTCCTCTGAATTTCTTTGCTTACTGTAGCAGCCCTTGCCTTTTCTCTTGCAGCAACAGCCCAGGCTCCAAGGATTATTACTGGGCCTGCGCCTGTTCTCCCACCAGCTGCCCTGCGTACTCCTACGCCAGCTGGCCCTACCATAATGCCTTTGATCAGACAAATACAAACCGCTGTCATGCCAAACGGAACTCCTCATCCCACCGCTGCAATAGTTCCACCTGGACCCGAAGCTGGTTTAATTTACACACCATATGAATACCCTTACACGCTGGCACCAGCTACATCAATCCTTGAGTATCCTATTGAACCTAGTGGTGTATTAGGTAAGATCTTTGTACGCGGATGACTGGAGAATATATTGCTTATGCTTTTCTGGTATTTGCAAGGTAGAGGTCGTGAGGCTCAAAGAAAAAAAATTTGAAGCGACAGTCTTATTTCAGGTGTATCAAAACTGCCTAGGAAAATTGCTCAAATGGTGTAACTCTGGAACATTCTAAACATGTTTTGCATTAGTAAATGTGTATGTTTAATATATTAGTAAGATTAGTGAAAATAAAATCTTAATGTTTGTGTGACACTAGGTGGTGGTTACATAGGCAAGGAAAAAAACCAAACTAATAGGAATTGACATCTATTATATGTCATTTGGGCTCCCATAAATACCAGCTTTGTGTTTGCTCTCTTTAACAAATTCATTTCCAATAATCTTTGGAAGAGAGAACTTCCTATTTTGCTGTACCTTTTTAGTAGCAAAACTGGAGAGAATGGAAGGGTCTTTCTTCAGTTTGTTGGAGATTTTGCTTCTTTTTTTAGTACACAACTGATAAATCTCTCCGCAGTGTCAGAAAAGCTGTAAATCATTTTGTAAGCAGAAAATAATTTCAGTGAACGAATAGAAAGCAAACTAAGTTCTGACCAAAGGGTGACACAATTAGCAACTTTACCGATGTTGTCTTTTATATACATTGGATTGAAATGTCCATCGTTCCTAGTATTTCAGACCATTGACTTGCTGTGTGAAGGCGAGAATGATAAAGCAGCCGTGACAATTCAGTTAACTGGTCAATATGGAACAAGCAGTTCCAATAGTTTCTTTCTTCCCTATCCTCTACAGAATCTAAATAATCTTTTCTCTTCAGTTTGTTCTGAATTGCATATGACCTTGGTGCTGCACAATGTTGATTTTATAGGACTTTGATCTTAGTTTGTTCAGTGGCAGTTATTGATTTACACAAATTCTAAACATCTGTAATGAACACTGGACAATAAGGTTCAAAGTATTGCAAAAAATCAGTGTTTCACTTACGTGACAAATACTTAAGTTATCTGTATGTGTGCATGTTCCAATGTTACATTTTGTACACTAAAAAAGAAAATGTATTTCAGACTTCTGCCTTTCAGGATTAGTGGATCAATAATAAAAATGTTAGTAGGACAAAAGTATGCAGTAGGTCTGTCTTGGAGCAGCTTATGGTTGTTGGCCATTACCCCATAGCCAAAATTCAGTGAGCATATGGTAATGTCATCGTTTATTAATTTCCCACAAACATATAAAAATTATCCCCAGCTCCACCACCCCTAATCTGCAAGTCCATTTGTGATACATCCTGGGGTAAATTCACAGTTACAGGCATCGTCACAGTAGCCATCAGTTGCTGGTTAGTGGCAAACCCCTCTCCTGAATTAAAATAATAGCAAATGAAGAAATACATCATTCCGTGGCAATAATTTAATACGATGCAGGGAACTTTGATTTCTCGTAGGATTTTCTGTAGAGGGGAGGGGAAAATTACTCTTAAAATGGCATCTGAAACCATTGCATACTTTTGGGCTTAGCTGTGAGAGCGTAGGTGTATTGCCCAAAACAGATCTCACCAAATAATCTTTTTTAAAAAAGGAAAATGGGGAGGTGGGGGTGGGGATCACACTCCCACTTAGACAGAATAGAATCAACAACTCTTTAGATATCTGCTCTGTTACCTGAGCAATTGTATAGAGTTAATTGAATTAAATTAGTTTTTCATTGAGTTTTACTTCATAATACACTCACTCTCATCAATAGCGTGCTATATTTTGTCCATTTTTGTGGTGGACCTGTAAGATGTCTTAAAATAATTCTGTTACAAAAGGCAGAGAGATGCATCCCTAGTAGTATTTTTGGGGATATTGGTATTGGGATCAAATTTTAGTTGGTGACTAACTTTTAATTCCCTTCCTTTTATCTTCAGGTATGGCTTTCCCAACGAAAGGCTAAGAATTCAAGAGCGGTCTTAACTGATCCTTCATCAGATCTGAATTTTAACAAATGCTTAGTTTCAGCAGCCTTGAAAAAAGCTTGGCCTAGCAGTCAGTGACTTACTTGCACTTTTTTGCACATAGATTTAAAATAAAATAGTGCTATTAATTTGGATTAGCTCCTATTATTACAGAGTAGCTGTAATTTATGAGTGTATAGTAGTATACTGACTGCTAAGTGTTCTATATAGTGTTTGCTTTACTAATCACCTAATTCATTGCGGTTCATACTTATTGACTTAAAGTTTAAAATCACAATTTGTAGGCTTGAAGAATTGCTTTAAAACTTTTTTTTGTGGTAGAACTGGAAGTGATCCTAAGGTTAGCAAATAATTGTCAGTATTAAAAGATGGCATTATTTAAAATAGTCCTGCTGCAAGAAAGGCACTTCAGTGAATATGTGACTAGTAAAGCTTAAATGTGCTTGGGTCTAATAGATTTCATGAAATACTGTAATTTTGGGATTGTAAATGAATGGATTAAACAGGTTAAGGCCAGGATGTTTAAAATAAATGCAATATTAATCTGCACAGATAAACTCCTTTTTAAGATTAAGATTTGAAACTACTGTGCCTTAACTTGTTGTTTTTCTTAAAATGAACTTTTGTAGTTAATGATCATTTAAATCCATTTTGATAAACCTGCTGTTAATGTTTTCTTTGAATGTTTTCTAACTTTGTCTTGGTAATTGCAATTTAACTAGGTGCGGTGGCTACTAAAGTTCGAAGGCACGATATGCGTGTCCATCCTTACCAAAGGATTGTGACCGCAGACCGAGGTTAGTTTAGTTCTGCAGTTCTTGTTTGTAAGAAGTGCTTTGAGTGTACATGAGATTTGCAACACCACAGCTGGTTAACCAAATACCCTATTTTGACCCATTTGATACTTTTCTCAAAAATCGGAATAGTTAATATTTTAAAGCTTTGGGAATGCTTGCGGTTTTAAAAACATTTTGTAAACTTGGCTTTCCCAGCTCAATTAAATATATAAACGTTGTGATATATTTAATATAAATGCTATAACTGATTCAATTTTTAAAACTGTTTAAAGATCCACCTGCATCAGGAAACACTATGAATTCAGTGCTACAGTAATTAATTTGGTTGTGTTCCCCCCTGCCCCCCCCGCCCCAATTTGTTCTTTTAATTGGTGTGGAAATATCAGATTGGTGTTGCAAAATAAAATGAATGGATGGTTGCTTAATGAGAAAGAAGTAAAGGAATAAATGCCTCCTGTCTGTGTCTGGAGAAATCTGAAGATTTAGATTCCTTTTTTTCCAATAAACTTTTGAGCCACTGTACTGTATATTATGAGGAGGATGCATGTTCTCAGATACCTGACTGAATTCAGAAAGGTAAGGGCTGTGAAGATAATACTTCAAAAGTTGTTTGAGTTTGAATTACTAAGGGTGGGGGTAGGGAGGGTGTTTTGGGTTTTTTGCCAAAATCTGTTTCTTGGTATTTGCCTTTTGCTGCTAAAATGTGTAACCTGAAGGAGAAGCAACTTTTGAAGTCCTGTTGGTGAGATGACATCCAATATTTGGGCATCTCTCTTTAACCCTTGAATGGAAAGTAAATCTTCATTTTTCTCCTGTTCCTTAAGTGTAATGCCTTTGGACCCCTGAATGAAGTATTTAAGCTTATTGAGAAAAGTGATATTTTCGGTTTATTGACATTGGCTAAGAAGCAGTGTGTGGGCTGAATTCTTATCCCATCCCTGCTGCTGACTCACTGTGGGTTTCGGCAAGTCATTTAATCTCTCTGTTTGTGTTTTCCCATCTGTAAAATAAGGATAATAATACTTCCCTACCTCACAGGGGTGTTGTGGGGGTTCTTGTTTTGTACAGGGCTTTGAGGATGCAAAGCATTATGTGCCAAGTATTATTATTCTGCTCTCATCAAAATCAGTGTTGTCCAGGCTTCCATGATACTGTAATATTCAAAAGCCAAATTCAGGTGACAGTTCTGACATCTCCTAACATTGACTACACTTCACTTCTCAGAACCTTCCATAAATTAACTACAAGAAACAATACAGATTTCAGTCAATACAGTAAAAAGGGCCTGCCTGGATATTTGCTATGCTATGTAACACTTTTATCTTTCATATGGTCTTACACTTTACTGAAAGCGTAAAGCTGATGACAAGACACTACTTAAGTTTTCTAGAAGATTACTTCTTCTTTTATATCGCCGCACACTATTTAGAACCTATTGGCTTGTTCTCCTTTCTTGAGAACTCTTCAATGGGCAACAGGGTATAATCAGAATAAGATCATAGCCCATGTTTACCAAAAAAGAAAGAAGAAAAAAAAAGGAATAAGAAAAAGGAAATAGAAAAAAAAAAAAAAAGATTAAAGCCTGTCTCTGTCAAGAGTAATGGGTGGTAAGGATTTGGTTGTCTTTGAAAGTTTGACCTGATGTTGCAAAAATCAGTTTTTGCTAATGGTCTTTCATGATCTGCAGTGGTAGTTTCAGGTGACAGGTGAGACTACGTTTTTGTTTAATTAGATATTTGCCTGAGACAACTAGTAAATATACTGATAAAGCACAGGGCTGGGGGGAATATCAATTTGTAGTTTAAGTTCATTGTAGTGTTTACTTAACATAGATTTTAAATACTTTGCGAAGGGCCTAGATATTTCATCTGGGTCACTTATAAGTAATTGAAATTAATTATTGGTATCATGTCATCGTCTTTTAAAATACAGCCATTTTCTGATAATACAGTGTTCATCTCTAGCAATATTGGAAGTCCATCGTCTTAAGTAGATAAAGAAATACATATGGCTTATCTCCTGTGGAATAAGTTATGCATACCTCTCTCTCTTAGCATGAAAACCATGCTGGTATTTCAGGAGAACGTTACTTTAAAGTCTTAGCTAAATAATCCCAGTGTGTATTAAGAAACTTACACAAAATTAATTTTACAACTGTACTTCACTGTGTTTTGGATTTGAAAACCTCGATTATCACTGCACAGATATAACAGTTTCACAAAAGGTTGTGAAGAGAACTTTGTTCAGCAACAAAACAGTTCCTTTTAATGTGCTAAAATTATGTTGTAGAATTAAAATACTATCAGTATTTACCCTGTTCACCCATTTGGTTGTTCTGTCACCGATATACTTCTATAGCTATAGCCATGAAAAACAATGTCAGCAAACCGAAATAATTTTTTTTCAATGCGGAAACTTTTTTTTTATATAGTTACATGTCACTAAATCTATATTGGCATTCATTGGGTCTAAAGTTTTTTTTTAAATTCTAAATCAACTTTCAGATGACTTTGTAGTACTACTGCATTTACTTTTTAAGTAGGTTTTTATTCTTTGCATAGGTGTTTTGTTGTGGTGTTTTTTTCCTTTTTTTTTTTTTTTTTTAGAGATAAGCACTGCATTTAAAGCAAGAATCCCCAAATGTGTAAATGTTTTATTCTTACAACTAAGCATTTAGGATTGGTGAAGGTTGAAAAATATAGCTCATTTTAACTCAGAATAAAACCCCAGTTTATAAATAATACAAAATTGAATTTGATGCATATAACAGAGAGACTGACTGATTTAATTGTAATAAACTGTAAATGGTGTTGCACAGTTGACAAACCTGTGTGTACTGTAGAAGGCCAGAGACTTGGCAGAGGATGTATCACAGGTGTACTGGTATTTTTAAAAGGTAGCTTGCTTTGATTATAAACTCCACAAGAAATATTAATGCTGAGAATTTTCTTGAATGTTTTATCCAAACCAACTGTCACATAATTTATATATAAATTTTAATACCATTTAATCAAAATTGTAATCAGTATCAAAGTGCTTTAAGAGTCTGTTTCTAGTATACCTGTAAAGTGGTGAGATTGTGCCACATAAAATATTTATTTTTATTTTTGCTTGTTTTTCAAACAGCCGTTTTAATTTAAACAAATCCCACTTAGCATGATTCTGAAAAAATTCAGGGAGCATGTGGTCTCATTTATGTTACAGTAGTAATTTTTTGTAGTGTTATGAACTGTATCCTAAATGATAGGCCATTTTTATTATGTGAAAGTAAATCAGCCCATGAGAAAGATTGCTAAATGGATGCTATCTGTGAATATTACACCTACTGGACTTCATTTTATGTAATGGCACAAATCTGACTTTGCACTGAATACCTTTCTCACTTTCATCTCCTCTGCCTTAGTCAAAATGGCAACAGTACAAAAACTTTATCAACCTCAGAATTTATTAGCTATAATTAAGCTGTTGAATGAGTCTTAAAAAAAATATTAAAAAAAAAATCATACTACTGTTAAGTGGACCAAGTTTGGTGAAGGAGAATGTGAGAGCATGATTAAAGAAGGAACAGCTCAAGAACATTGGAATGATAACTTTCCACTTGAGAACTTTTTTATGTTTTACTGTAATTTGTGTTTTTGGGTTTTGTTTTGTTTTTTTTTTCTTTTGGGTTTTTGTTTTTGTTTTGTTTTTTTCAAAAGAAAATAGTATTTACAGGTGGCTTCTTTTAAAATATAAAAATATAAAGCAGGATTTTTTTTATATGAAATGTCAGATTTTATTGTATTTGCAGAGTATTAGCTTTGAAAATGAATAAAGAGAGCTGTTTGTAGTTTTAAAATGCCTTATTAGTATCAATTAGATATTTTCTCTATTTTTTGATGTACTTAGAGCTTTTTAAGTATAGACTTTAAAATGGCAGGACTTCTACAGTGTTTACATGCAAGTGCATTTTATAAGTGTCCTATATGTGTAAAATAGTATTTCGAACGGGAAAATGCTGGCTAAAGTAGCAGGCTGAGCGTTTTCCTGGTTCCCACGATGATGCCTACGTTGCTAGACTACAGTTTAGTATTGCTTTGTATCATGAGGCCAAGAAATTCCATGTTGTTTGTAAATAGAATAAATGAAAGGCAATAAAAAATTTATTGAACAAAAACCCTTTGTTTGGCCCATAGTTTGTTGAACCAAATTGTTTCTCTAAGTTCAGAATTCTGTAGATGACTTCATTCTTTTAACAACCAGTTATTAATAATCACATCCATCATTAATAGTTGCTTTAATGCTTGCACTTGGGGAGGTACTAATGCTTAATAGCAGTCAGATACTGATGCTGTGCACTGACTGTTGTTCCAGAAATCTTCTACCCAGTTCCAAAACTGTTCATCGTTTTTTGTTTTCCAATTTCCTTCATCGACTGCTACTAACCATTAGTTGTTAGTCGTATTTTATCTCTATTTCTCTTGTTAACCGGTTTTGTGGGAGCGGGCTTCTCCTTCACGTGTCCAAATCATGATGGAGGGCTGTCATGATTTTATTGCATTCTGTAGATGGTGTCAATCAGTATGTCAGAATTAAACATGCTTGTTTTTTTATTAGTTGTGATTAGTTTTCATGTTGTCATTAAGCCGTCACTAGCTGGAACTAATCTCTTCTCTATCTTTTCTTTCTTTTTTTTATTTTGTTTTTTTTTTGTTTCTAACCACCCAGCCGCCACCGGCAACTAACCTATGACCTTCTGACCTCTGAACTCTTCACCCAATGATGACCTGACCATGCCTGCCTGCTGATCAGTTAACTGGTAAACGCCTTTGCTTGCCTGTCTTCAGTGCAGCGAGCTGGGGCACTTGTCCGTTCGTCTTACCATCTAACAAAACAGACAAAGAAATTGTTGTCCTCCAACTCCGCTTTTTGTTGTTCTCCTGTTTGGGTGAAAGTGGTTCTAGAACCTGCACTGAATAGTAGTAAAGCAATAAGGTCCAACTCATCCCTCCGCACTGATCATCCTCTAGTGTCCTGCCCCAAGCGAACGGTAAGGAGGCCTCGCACGAGATGGAGACAGATGTCCCTTAACTACCCGATGACAGAGGCAGTTACTGTGAGAGACTTCTAGGAATATTTTTCTTCTCAAAAAAAAAAAAGGAAAAAAAAAAAAAGAAAAAAAGAAGTCAAAGCTCTCTCTGAATGTACTGTGTGATGATGCATCATGCATGAACCTTTGGTCAGGGATGTCATTGGGGAAGGGATTCCAAAAAGTATTCAAAATTTGATACGCTGTTTAGTCACTACCGGTGCCCTCAAAGGGCAGACGTTGCAGCCTTTTTTTCTATTGCCTGCCAAATTGGACGTTTTAAAGGAAAGTGTGCCATGAAATGCAGATTATGATGACTTTTCAGAACTATGTTAATGCAGAGAACAAAACAGCAACACTATTAAAGCAAAATCTGAGTTTAAATTATTTTAACCATATTTTAATCTCCTCGAAGATTACATGAGAACAAGGTACATGCATTATGTGTCACATTACTGGGCAAACTGTTCAAATATTTTTTTTAAACCTCCCTGTATAGAAAAAATTTCATTAAGGATGTAAAAGCCATGCTTGCCTATTTGCTGTATACATGTAATGAAATTGTAGATAAAGTGTAGTGCATTGAAACAAAATGAACAAAAAAGTAGATACTTTTACTATACAAGGGTGCTGGTGCAGAAAAAAAATATATTTTTGGAAATGTAGCATTTTATACTTTCAAGTGTTATAAAAAAAGAAAAAAAGAACAAAGAAACCCTTTATTTCATTAAATGATTTTTTCTGGTGGTTGTCAAGAAACAAAAGACCAAAAGAGCCTTTTAGTCTTTCTTTTTTATTTTTTAAGTATTGGAATAAGTCTAAAGAAAAGGAAGTGCCTTATTTTCTTCATGGTCATTTAGTCAAATGTCTTGTATAATCAGCTTCTCCCTCAGACAAGTTACTGCATGCCACTCAGTCGCCCAGTATGTGAAAGAAGCTGTGAGGGAAGACAAATGATGAGTTGACCATATTGATTACCTGATTTTTGCCATACTAGTGTGATGTGACTTTGCCAAAATCTCATTACATAAAATATTCGCTAAGTTTTTGTCAAACCAGCCCATGGTTATTTCAGCCACTCTACTATTTCAATCATAGCAAATGCCGTACTTGTGCAATGTAAACCAAAGGGTTCTGTGATACAGACTGTCTCGTGCTGAATGAGACTAGTAGCTGACAAGTGTTTGTAGAGCTGGGAGTATGTCGTTTTTGTTCAGGGATGGAGAGGAGTTTTCTTGATTTTGGTTGGAATAAATACACATCAAATATAGTAGGCTTCGGCGTCACCCAGAAAACTGATGTTCTGTGCATAATGAAATTGAAAGTGCTTAGCTAGTTTTCAGTTACAGTCTGAGCGCGTCCCTGGTTGTCACGAGCAGCTCCTGCAGTGGCAAACAGCGTGCAAGTTACTTGTTTTTCAGCTCTTTTTTGATTATTGTTAGATCTGCCTGCTGGCTTTTCTTCATAAGATAAGCAGGAGAGGGACATCAGCTAAGTGTTTGAAGTCCGGCTATACTTTATTTTTAACCCTTCTTTTCACATGAGGTTCGTACAGCTGGGCAATTGCAGGAGCTGAAGCTGTTGAACGCACAGTATTTGATTCTGAAAACATGAAGTATTACTTTATGTGGGGCTCAGTACTAAACTTGGCAAATATCAGGTGATAACTTTATTCCCCTCTTGTCAACTTATTCTCCTCCTGCAAATCTTCACAGCTTCCAAATGAAAAGTCAGTAGTAAGCTAAGAGGGCTTACATTTTTAAGCACCTGCATGGTGACCTCATCTAACATCTTGTCTCACCTGGAAATAATTATCAGTTTATTTACTATGCAATAGACATTCATCCTTTCGTATTCAGCTAGCTTTTTGTTTTATTGTGCCACTGGCTTTGTCTTCCTGTTACACATACAGTTGTGTTGATTTTATTTACAGTATATGCTGTGCCATTTTGATTTTACTTTGGTTGGTTGGTTGAATAAACTTGCGACACTCGAACATTTGAAGAGAGATTTGCTAAAACAATACCAGTATTTGATCCAGTTTCATCTCAACTATGATAAAACCTGGACATTTTAGATGTTTATCAAAGGTCTTTTACTGGGGGGAGGGGAAGTGTATGAAATAGATGTGTGACATGTGAAAGTAATGTTTGCTCTGAACAAACTTCTGAAAACTTAGTTGACAAAATTTTGGATCAACTTAAAAAAAAAAAAGCATGACTTTTGAAATCTCTGAATGCCTTGGTTCTCAGTATTATCATTCTTTAATGACTTTTTCTTTATTAAAATAAGTAGTTTTAAGACTTCTTTCTGACAGTATTATGTAATTTTTTTTAGAGTGGGTAGATGGGAGTGTCGCTTGTATGTAACCGTACAGATGACATGTATTTGTCTATTCTTTATTATCTTAGTAGTTTCATGCTATGTATGTACCATAACCAACCTATTGCCTATGAGAAACATGTAAGATAATGTATTTACAGCCATTGTTACAAGTTTATAATGTATTTTTCTATCTTGTTTTATATGTATGTTATATAACATTCAAAAGAATTTTTTTCCTGATTGAGAAAAAAGGATACAAAATGCAAAACCCACAATTTTGATAACTGAAAAATTGCCAATTGTTTTGCAGTACTTTATTATATTGGGAGTGTTGTCTTTCTTGGGCTTTTAGTTAGCTACTGGATGAATACATTAGACATATTTGGGTTTTAGTTGGGTTTTTACATAGCTTGCATTTTAATTCTTTGGTTCTTTGCTGTTTCTATTAACCCATAGCATTATTTTAATAAATGTTATAATACCAACCTACTAACTCTGGACTATGTCTGTTTATTAACCATTACATGTTTAATTAAAATAAACAAATAAAGACGGAAGAATGTAAAGTCTTGAGTTACTGGACTAACCCTGAAGAACGTGACCACAGATAACACAACGTGACTTGTTTTTATGTTGTTTGTCGGCTGACATTCTGCACACTACTATTAAGTTGGCTTTGGTCATTCTGGCCTTTTACCTTGGGGAATAGGTGCCAGTAGAAATGGGAACAAAGTAGCATTTTTTTGAGGCATTCTTCTTGTAGAGTCTTGCCACTTGCCTTTCAGCATCTGCATTACTAATTCCACACTTTCTTTTTCTTTCTCTAAAATAATTACTGTCGGCTCACAGCAAAAGAGCAAAGATGCCAGTGTATTGGTAAATCGTGATGGTGTACAGAAACCAGTTTGATTCTTTGTTGAACCATTCAGAGGTTGCAGTTAATCTCATAGTAATTTGTGATTTGTTGGTTTTTGCACCTGATTCACTGTTGCATCGTGTGACATTTATAAGCACAAAATACTTGCAGATAGAATTGCTGTACATCGAAATACAGAATCTGGGGTTTTCCTTGCCAGAAGTGCCTTATTTTCTTCATGCCACGCTATTTTTTAAGTAACCTTTTTTTGGTACTTCTGCTGTAGTCTGTCAGCATTGCGTAGCTCAGGGGAGTACAATTTCTGTAAGCCAAAGGTCAAACTGGATCATTTCCTAATGACTGCAGAAAGTACAAAAATATGCCTTTCACTAAATTACCAAGCAACAGCCATTTCAAATTCCAGGACTGCCTTTATGTGATCTTCATCCCTGTGGATGACTGTGGCAACATGAATGCAGGGAATTGAAATGGTGAAATGCTGTTTCGAATGTACATCTATGGAAATATTTTTAAGGAAACATTTCTCTTTCTTAAAGCTTCTGCTGTCTGAGGCTCCTTTACATCTCCCAGGTCGTCCTCCTAGATTTGTAATCTTAAGTGGACAGTAATTGTGGCTAATGTCAAGGGAGACCCTCGATGTAGATGACTCTTCAGATATCAACACTTTTTGTGAAAACTCAGTTTTTATCCTGTAGATAGTAAAAATTCAGACAAGGAGTCTTTGCATCTGTTCAAATGCCACCTTTAATTTATGATGTTTCAAACCACAGATCTTGAAATCCATGCGATATAAAACTTTACTTTTAAAAAGTTCTCACAGTATTGGTAGTAATTAAAATTAAGCTTTATTTTATGGAGAACAATAGCCTAGCTCTGATGATGTTTGTTAGTTTTCTAATGGCGTGTGGCTCTTCATTTGTTTTACAGAAATGTGTAGGTACAGCTGAAATACCGGTGCGTTTAGAATAGTTTTACTTGTACAGAAATCTTTTTTAATTTAACAGATCATGAATATGTTGCTATCCTAAAAGTCAGCCACAGGCAGATGATAAAAAAATGAGACATTTACAACAGATAACATCAGGACCTTTTGTTTGGAAAATGGCACAAATGTCATTTCAGGATCAATAATTTATATTCCTAAAGGATTTTATGAGAGGCACACTCTTAAAGTTGGTGAAATACTCTCCAGTTTAGGTGAAACTACTCAGATGGGACAAAAGAAGTATTCTTTAATATAAAATACTAATCTGTTCACAGAACTACTGCTTTTCTGTAGTATTTTTATAATTTTTATTAGATACAGAGTACTGACATACTTTGTCCACAGTGCATTTTCATCTCAGTCTTCATTATATGCAGTAGTGAAAGTTGCTGTAAATTTTGAAGTACTTTAGAGCTGAAAGACAGCAAAAAAAGGAAAACTGAAATCAAAATTATATGCTTATTGTTGTCCACCAAATGCATTTCTCAGTTTACCTAAGTGCCTGTCTGAAAATTTAACTTTTATACTTTGCCTGCTTGTAGGAAAGAAAGAAGCTATTTTTAGAACTGAGTTTGAGGGTGACTTCAATATTGCTACATCACTGAAGCTAGGTTGTTCTTTAGTATTGTTATTATGGGGTT